CTCACCTGAAGCTCTGAAGTGGGACTCCTGATAGTATCTGACTCTTGCCAGGTCAGCGAGTATGGTCCGATGGTGCTGCTGCCTGACCCCGTCCGCCGAGTCACGAGAGAGCCAAAAGCTGGACGGCAGAGTTCTTCTCGGTATCGTTGATGGGCATGACGCCCGTAGGATCATCCGACGAGCAAGTCGCCGGAACCTTCAGAACCTGCAGTCCATAATTGGAAACGAGGTCAAAAGTTCGTATCAATTAAGCTCATCGGCATCGCAGAAGTTACCAAAGTCTCGGCCTCAACTCTGCCGGCACGGGGTCGCACGTTGACACTAGAACAACAGGGACCTGGCTAGTAGCTTGCACCATTCTTAGACAATGGGTGAGATGCTAGCGCGGACATGTGCCGTCAAGGAGCACCAGTGCTGATGCAGATCGGGTTAAGCCCTTCAGCCTCAGCATAGCAACCCGGATAGGCTTCCCGAGTCCGTCTCTGCCTACGGGCGAGATCAACGATGATCAACGGGGGGTTCTACAGTACTGAGATACTGTACCCCAGCCGTTGAAGAAAGTCCGTCTCGTTTTTAGATATTGGCTAACTAAACTCGAGCCTCCTTCGAGGAGTATATAGCTCAAACCTGCTCACCCTCAACTCTTTCTTGGCTTTTGGGATCATCAGCAGTCACTCACTTAGACATCTGACAACAGTCTTTTCACACACATTCGTTTCTTACTTTACCGAAAAGGTTAGCTGCCAAGATGGTCGCCATCAAAGGCATGGGAGGCGTCCTTGGCTGGTTGTTCTCAATCCAAGCGTCTCTGAGCCAAGACAAGACCAACGGGTAAGACAACTTCCTCAGCACAACTTGGCTGCATTCTCAATGGAATGTCATCTCAACTAACCTGAACCCTCATGCAGAAAATCTCCTCTTGGCACTTTGAATGCTGCCAAGCTGCCGCTCTTTATGAGAAATAACCCTCTCCCTAACGGCTTTCCCTGGGGCAAGCTTTCCGCCGACGGCACCAACTACTACAAAGAATGGCCCAACACCGGCGTCACCCGCAAATACGACTTCACCGTCAGCCGCGGTGTGATCGCTCCCGATGGCTACGAGCGCAAGGTCCTGCTCGTGAACGGTGCCTTCCCAGGCCCTACTATCGAGGCCAACTGGGGTGACTGGATCGAGGTGACGGTCACCAACAACATCACCGATGGCCCTGAGGGAACCGCGCTCCACTGGCACGGATTCAGACAGCAGAACACCCAGTGGGAAGATGGCGTCCCGGCTATCTCTCAATGCCCGATTGCTCCCGCCAAGACCTACACTTACAGGTTCCAGGCGACTCTGTACGGAACTACTTGGTATCACTCTCACTACTCCTCTCAATATGCTGGTGGCTTGTTCGGACCCATGGTTATCTATGGTCCTGCTAAGTCTCAGCCTGAGATTGATCTTGGCCCTATTATGCTCTCTGGTAAGTTGATATTGTGCAATTCTTCCTCCAATAGCTACAGTGTCTTCGGCGATGGATGGCTGCCAATGGCTGTTCCGTAGTCGGCCAGCCATGCGCTCTTTTACCGGGCCCGGTGACGGAGGTGTGGGTTCCCGGGGCTGGTTCCCGAGTCCAATCGCAACCCCGGCTTCGAGGTGGAGCTACGCGGACAGCCGAATGCAACGCCCGCAATGATCACCACTTCAGAAGAATGAAGCCGCTAACGTCTCCCAGATTGGTACCACAAGCAATACTTCGATCTCATTGAGGAAATCTTGCAAGTCAATGGCAGTGGTTTGGTCTTTTCTGACAACAACCTGATCAACGGCAAGGGTAACTTCAATTGCTCCACCGTTGCGACCGGAGATAACACCAAGTGCACCAACAATGCCGGTATCTCCAAGTTCAAGTTCCAAACCGGCAAGACCCACCGTCTCCGTCTCATCAACTCCGGTGCCGAGGGTACCCAGCGCTTCTCCATCGACGGACACACTCTCACCGTTATTGCCAACGACTTCGTTGAGGTCGAGCCCTATGACACAAAGGTCGTCACCCTTGGTATCGGCCAGCGAACCGACGTCCTCGTCAAGGCCAACGCCGATAACAGCAACCCCAGAGGTGCCTACTGGATGCGCAGCAACATCACCAGCTGCAGTCTGACCACCCAGCCCCTCGCCCTTGCTGCCGTCTACTACGACTTGGCCGACCAGTCCAAGGCGCCTACTAGCAGTGCCTGGAACGTTCCTGACCCCGGTACCTGCGTCAACGATGACCTCGCTCTTACCAAGCCCGTCATGAAGCTTAAGCCGGCCAATGTCCCTGTCACCAGAACCATGGAGATCAAGGTCTTCCGCAATGACTCTGGTATTGTTCAGTGGTCGCTTGGTGGCGTTGACTTCCGCGGCAACTTCAACGACCCCACGCTTCTTCAGGTCAACAAGGGTGATTTGACTTTCGACAACGACTGGAACGTCCAGAACTTTGCCAACAATGGCAGCGTCCGCATTGTCGTCAGCAATAACAGCCCCGCAGCGTAAGTCAATTCCCCATGTCTCTTTCCTCGAAAGATAGGCACATTAACTAATACTTCGGCAGTCACCCCATGCATCTCCACGGTTTCAACATGTACATCCTCCACGAGGGTGACGGCCTGACTTGGGACGGAACCATCACCAACCCCGAGAATCCCCAGCGCCGCGACGTCCAGCAGGTTCGTGCCGGCGGCCATATGGTCATGCAGTTCGACTCCAACGAGAACCCTGGTGTCTGGCCCTTCCACTGCCACATTGCCTGGCACGCGTCCGCCGGTCTCTTCTCCCAGTTGCTGGTTCAGCCCGAGAAGGTCAAGCAGCTCCGCATTCCTTCCGCCGTCGCTGATGTATGCAAGGATTGGTCTGCCTGGACCCAGAGGAACATCCCTGAGGTCATTGACAGCGGTCAGTAGATCTGAACCTATTTTATTTCTTCGTCTATAGTATCCACGGTGTACTGGTAGCATGTATTTTTCTTGGTTGTGTATTATTCGGTTATTGGCAGGTTCATAGATTTCACATCTGGGTACTTTAGTCTGTACATTATCCCGCTAGAAGAATTCAAATGAATCATACAACATGTGTGAATGGCTTCGATGGTTCGAACTACCATTGTCACCGCAGCCGAGATCGCTTCAGAAGCCTGAGTGCCTATAACCTCAAATGTTCTATCAATTGTCTGGCGTTATTCAAAAGAGCGAGACAGCTAGGCTGTCGATCATCTGATCCACAGAACGACTGATAGCAAGGTGGGCAGTCAGGTGCAGGCGGCGTGTGATGCCATCGCCGTTGACGCTGCTCCATGAGGTCAAAGAATCCCGTAAGGTACTTATTATCCTTCTGACCCTCGGCGCCAAAGATTTCCGATCTCACGATGTTTCGCATAATTTTGCCCCATTCTGATGGTGATACCTCTACCGAGAACAGGCTTGGCGCGCTTGTGGACGACGGTGCTCCATAGGCCGATGAACCCGGTAATGCGCCGTGGATTCCAAGGCGCTTCTTTTCTCCGGCCTCTGTCGCTCTAGTCTCTTCTGTCGAGATCGATGCAAGCATTCTCTTGTACGACTCTGTAAGACAAAGACAGAGAACGCCAAGTAGAGCAGCGTTCTGTATGATTGAGAAGTAGCGGCGCGGGCATCTTTGACAATTCAGAACTTGTAAAGCCGGCTCAAAGGTATTACGGAGTAGCGCAAAGTCATCTGGTGCGACAAGATGTTCTTTCACCCGAAGGTGCTCGAGCAAGAGATACAATACTGAAAGACAAGCGCAATTATCTGTCGTTTGCTGATTGTCTGAGGTCAGGGGAGGGAAGGCTGCGAGACCTTCCGACGCAAGATCTTGACTGGGCCTGGATTCATCAAATACACCGTCAGCGAACTTGACGTTCAGTAGGCTGGGGGTAGTAAGATGATAGAATCATACCCTTGATTATCTTCCAAGTCAATGAGATCTGGGTGGATCGCATGAGTCTCCGGATTGAGAGGGGAGCTGATTTGCGGGCTTGTTGACCTGAGAAGTGCGTCAATTTCTCGCGTATTGCTGTTCCCAGAGTCTGAAGCAGCGTCTGTATGAACAGGAGAGAGTAACCTGGTCGAAGCATTCCGCCGGGGCAGTATCCGTTCCCGACGGATTGGTTGGGACGATTGGGGACGGGCACGACGTGATGTCGGCCTACCCATTGGCTTGTGGGGAGAATAATAGCATTCCCGATCGGAGGATCTGCATTTGGAGCAGATTGGACGTTCGCCTGTGCATTTGATCTTTTTTACTCCTGGGGATACACTTGACGTTAATACATTTCATGTCATTTCATAGGGGTCAGGGCCCACTACGTACGGCAAGCCTCGCATGATGCTCGAAGGCCTGATCCTCCAATGGGCAAATTTGGAGCCATGATGTACCAATGGACTTGCACTGTGAACTCGGATGTGTATGTTTCCGGGCAAGAGATGCACGAACAACGAGCTGAGGAAAGTTGAGCAATGACGATTGATATGAAAAGACCAGGAACTCGACAGATTAAACAAAGCCACGGAGGGTTTCCAAGTGGTCTGTGCTATCGGAGACTTTAGTCCATAATGATTGGTCCATAGTGTCCGATCGATCCACCTCCACGGAGGGTGTTCCGTTCCCCGCTCCCAAAGTAGCATCCCGTGCCCAAGGCGATCGTAGATCATCAGGCAAGCCGGCATGGCCGGCTGGCTTTTACTCGAACAAACTCCAAAGTATTGCCCTATTCACGGTACCCTTCTCGAACGTAAAACGATATTAGGCATTCATACATGTGGTTGCGCTAATTTTACAGTCTCATTCTAATGATCTGTCGCAGTGGTGAGATGGGTATTGGTATCTTTTACAGTCCGACGGGCTCTACGTTAAGAAGCCATGTTATTACAAATTATTCCAGCCAACTGCTGGATTTAGGTACTTGAAACTCAGAATGCCATCCTCCACATCACCTCCACATCACTTCCTGCCAGTGGTTACGCACTCAGTTCAGGCCTTCGCAAGATGTCTGACACGCCCTCACGGAATAGCAGCATTGCGTAAAGACTGTGAAACCGCAATAGGAGGCCGGACAGGTGTTGATTTCGAGTCGGGTTGCAAGCTGTTGATTCATAGACGATTCTGACGTTTGCTGGGTTTTCGGGCCTCCTGACAATGCTAAACCGATGAGCGCCTGCAAATTGGCTGTTATCTTTTCCGAAGACAAAGTCGACGCTGCTTTCTGTTTCCGGCTCCGCTTGTGACTCTTTGGGGTCGATGAGCTTGATATAGCCGAGTTGGAACGTGCCAAAGACCACCGAGTGCACTGGCGGGAGCTTTTCGCATGAAAAATCTTGAGATTTCCATATCTGGTTTGACATTGAAATCGAATTGAGTCCTATCATCAAGTCAGAAACTCGGTCACTCCTGACAGGAGGTTGCGAGATGGGCGACTCACCAGCGTAGGACACAAAAGACGGCCGTGCCGTCTGCAGCAGACGTCTCTCAATTGCCAAAACCTTCCCCGCAAAGAACCCACGGGCGAAAGTCGCCAATAACACCTCGTCGCTCAGTTCTCTTGCGTTCTCAGGCAGCTCCATATCCATAGCCAGCTTGTCTGCTGATGAGACATGTCCTCTGGGATTTACTAGAGTCTTGAGAGTGTGCGATTGTCTGAAGTGTTCTGAAAGGCCACTACTAGAGACGATCCGTCGCGTGTCGACCGCCCTGATACTTGTGTAGACCTCCCAACCGTGTTTTATGAGTAAGGCGCATGGGATCGCTGCTGCCAGGGCGAGGGCGTGACGCCCGCCGATGTATCGCAGACCAAGGGCCATCTGAGGCACTCGTAGGCAAGGTTATAATAATGAGGTGAAATGCGAGAGTTGAACAGCTTTAGCTGGCCAAGTCGTGGGTTTACAATATTGATGTTACCTCGAGTCTGGGCGTGCAATTAAGTATGGCAGATATTCAGAAGCTGACCTGTCAGACGAAAACAGCCCGCGATCGGTTCCCGCCGGCTTTACCCGCGCTCAGTTCTCAGCCCTTGATGCTAACGCCATCCAGCCTAACTGCGCTTTTTGGCGAGCAAAAGTCCGAATTTGTTGGTCCCTAAGTATGAATATGAACAGACCATCTTGTTAAAAACTGGTCACCTATTCTGGCATACATCAATAAGATGACTCAACCTGTCTCATGCAGCATTTCTGGTCTCGGGATTGTCTTGTAGGGCATAGATTTAGTGCTTCCCCCACCAAGTTCAGCGCTGGAGACGGAAACCGCAATATGGACTGGTGGCCAGCATGGACTTTTGAGACCGAGACTGCCGTGTGTTTCATTGCCTAGTGGGAATAGACATAGCATCATACTTTAGGCGAACATCAATGAGATGGAAAACTTCATTTCCCTGGTTCAATGGCCCGGCACTGGTAGACCTTCTGAATTGAACAAAGCAACTCCTCCAGCCACTGTCTTTGCTCCACATTGCCCAACATGGAGAACTCTGGGGCTGTTCCAGCAGGGACCTTAACTGTCAACATAGCGGCTAAGGTCTCACCCGCCAGGGGCAGCTCACATGGACACTGTTGAAGCTTCTCAGCGCGGGGCTCATGTTTGACCAGGACTTACCTTACTTTATGCGACGTCTACAAATTTAGCAACGATTGTAGGCACCTTGTTTCTATAAGTAAACTGTGCTCATCGTATTCACAGCTTTCTCACAGAGCATCGTATCTAATCATAACCAAACTCACACTTAATCTACTTCAGCCAGCCAAAATGTCATCAACAGACGAGAAAACGCTCCACCTAGTAGGCATCGGCGTAGGCCACTCAATCGCGCCCCCGATGCACAACGCCATCGCCAAATCCCTCTCCCTTCCCTGGACCTTCCACGCAACCGAATGCAACACAATCGAAGACCTCATCCTCCTGGCGCGCAAAGACTCAACAGCAGGCCTCGTCGTCACGATGCCCTACAAGAACACAGTCATGCCCCGCCTCGATGCCCTGGATCCCCTCGCCACCACGATCGGCGCCTGCAATAACGTCTACCGCAACCCGTCAGACCCGGCGAAGCTGAGGGGCACAAACACAGATTGGCTGGGTGTGAAGGGGTGTCTTCTCGAAAAGGGGGAGGGGCGAAGTCCGGTGGAAGGAAAACCTGCGTTGATTGTGGGTGCTGGCGGCGCAAGTCGTGCTGCGGTCTATGCTCTGCATACATACTTCAAGGCCTCTGTGATATACGTCTTAAATAGAGATGATGGAGAAGTATCTGATCTCCAGCGCGATGCCCAACGTCTATCCCCTGGCCCCAAGATTGTTCACGTCAAAGAAGGGGAGTCGAAGACGCTGGAGACACCGTACTACGTGGTCGGAACGGTCCCCGATTTTGAGCCTACATCGGCGTCTGAGTTGGCGGTAAGAGCATCTTTGGAGGACTTCCTTTCACGGCCGGAGAGGGGGGTCTTGTTAGATATGTGCTTTAAGCCGCGACGGACGCGCATGATCAAGCTAGCGGAGAGTCTCGGGTGGCCTTCGGTGGAGGGAACGCATGTTATCGGGTACCAGATCGAGGAGCAGTGGAACCTTTGGGCTGGAGAAGAGAGAGTGAAGAGCTTGGATAAGGATGCAGCGTGGAGGGTTTTATTGGAGGCGGCTGACAATAGTCCAGGGATCAACTTCTAAGCAAGTTGACGTCCATGTCATGAAGAATTGAGATTCTGCTTGAAAAGAAGGGAATGCCAGTCAAGAGTGACATGCTCGTGGAATATACTGCTAATCACACGGAACTTCAATTCAAGTTGAATCGCTTGACCAGCTTCTTCCAGGCTTCGATGCCTCTTTGCGCATGCTCCTCAGGCACTTCCTTATGTTCTTCCGCCATCGTTCGCGAGAAAAGTTCCATCGACACCCACCCCTTATACCCAAGCCCCTCAATCAGGGTGCGGGCAACTTCATCAACCGGCAAATAAGCCCCGCGATCCGTCTCATACATGTACGTTCTCGCATTCCTCGACCACATCATCCGCGATGGATTACCATCCACGTGCAAAGGATGGCCTTTTACGAGAGGTTGTTCCATCCGCTCGGCGTCAACAACCTGGATGTAAAACAACTTTTCCAAGTCGACGCTCTGTACCAATCTCTCCATTGATGCCTTCAAGTCCGCGTCTGCGTTGGGGGTCTTCCCGGACGGAGATGCCGGATCACCCCAGACGCGTCCAGCGATGTTGAAGGTGTCGAGGCAGAGGCCGAAGTTCCGGCGGTCGACAAGCGTGGCAACCTCCCAGGACTTCTCCCACGTGTCGACATGCGTGCTCCAGCATAAACTCTCGTACGCAAACCGGATTGGCGGGTCTTCCTTGAGACCCAGATCTGCGAGTTCGACTAAATCGGCAACGATGACATCCATGTCACCAGTTAGCTGGTCGGCGGGGAGGAAGTTTGCGGGGATCTGGATTGTGTTGGTCCCCAGGGTCTTGGCCAGCTTGAACCACAGCTTGATCTTCTCGATGAGTCGGGCATGTTGATCTCTGTCCAAAAGACCTTCGTAAAATAGGAACGGCTGTAGACCGATGATTGTGATCTTTAGCTCGTCAAGTACCTTGCGGATATGCTCTGCGGCGGAAAAAAGGTGCTCCGGGGTAGGCTGATCGACATCATGGAGCTTTTTGGCAACATATTCGAGGTCCTCGTAGAAGATCTCAATGCCCTCGAATCCGTACTTTGCTGCCTCGGCGGCCTTCTTGTCAAAGTCGTGGGCCCAGGCGCGACCAAGGGACGCAGAGAGTATGGCGGGTCGGAAAACAGTCATGGTGGGACGTGGCGACGGTGACGAGTGTGGTTTGAGGTGAGAGATCGGGTATCGTCGTGGTCAACAAAGCCCGTATCAAGACCATAATCATTCGAGACTGTTGGTTCGGTGCCGAATGATCAATCATCCCTCAATGCTATTGACCCCGCACTTTACATCACCCAAAGTTAGTAAGCTATGCCAGACCCGGGTGATGTCAAAGATGGCAGTTCAAGAAGGCGGCTAAGCGTAGTTCCGGTCTATACCATTGGCGTCTACTGCAGATTCCGCAACTCCGAAGGATTTAATCGGTTTGATTGAAGATCAAAATTTACCCAGGCTCTTGGTCAAAGAATGACTGGATATCCGTCGCTATGTCGCCTACAACTCCGAGATGCCGCATGAACTCTGGTGGATTTGCCGACCTATTTCCATTTGTTAGATACCGAGTCAAAGATGGTACTGAAGATATTCACGCATTTACCAATCAGCTGAGTCGAGATCGGCGAGACTCATGAAAAGTTCACCGCCGATGTTCTCCGTCGCAGTGTCCATCAGTTGACTGAAGCTTACTTGCGCTTCTGGCTGAAATTGCCGAAGGTCCGTTTGATGCACAGGTATGTAATCTGCTATGGCTTCCATTGTCGCTGGCTCGCTTTCGGCGATTTCACTGCGAGACATTGTAGAAAGGCTGTGTCTCCGGGAAATCCTCTTCTGAGCATCAGAAAGGGCAGTCTTTAGGGGTTGCAGATCCCCAGGAGGTCTTCCAAGTCCCTGAGTGTTACTCATTCGGTAGTCGCAAGCGGTTTCGAGGCTAGTGAGGAAGACTACTGATGTCGGAGGCATGCGAAATGTCTTGGTGGTGTCGAGAAGTTTAAGAAGAGATTGCTCCTGAACAAGTATTTCCGAGGATCCCTTGCTTGGTACTCCATATGGTGTGCCCTTAAGGCGTTGCACTTTTGTCCTAAGAGTCTCGGAAATACTAGCACAAGCAAGGCGAAGATGCGTATCCTGGGGCGAAGTCACGACATCATGCTGGTTTCCACAGTCCGGCAAATGATGCTTCCTCCATTCTTCAAAGTCTCTGATGATATGGTAACAACGACCAATATTGTCGCTTCCCATCTCAAGTCTCATGACGTCATTTAGAATGCCAACAAGGAGGAAGAAGGAATTGAACATGCTCAATACCAGTCCTGGTACGTGACTCGGCGGCTGCGCCTGGTCGTCCAAATCTTTTGAATGCCACGGCTCCCATTCTTCCATGGACTCTGTGGCAAGCAGACCAAAGCGCTGTGCGTCCGAGGAGTCGAGATATGGCCGTGACTTTGCCAAGCTTGCGATGAGCGTGTCAAGGACAAAGACACACATAAGTGTTCGCCCTGTGCCCTCGTCTTTGTGCAAGGACCCGTCCACAGTCGCAGCAAGAAACGACATGACAGCTGAATATGTGGCTTGACCGATTGCGAGCCACGCGGCTCCATTGTCTTTCTCTTCCAGTCTAATAAGTGCGACGATGAGTAGGGCCCGTATGTGACCGATCTTATACTTTCCATTGTCTTTGGCCAAAATATCTGTCGCTGACTCGAGGAAGACCTTTGAAAGCTCCAAAGATCCCGACTGCCGCAAAGAATAGGCCATGACTGTCCAGAGAAAACATAGATCTCCGTTGTGAATAGCATTGGATGGGTTGGCATCCTTATCGCTGTTGGCTTTGAGGTAAACCAATCGCAAAAGATCGTGCTTCTGAACCATGGGTAGCCACGAATGAGTGTTGGCGAAGTACACATCCAGTAGTTGTGCCCAATTTGGAGGTACCTGCGGTGGGCAGGTATGGCGTTGTGGTGTTGGGGCCTGTGACATGGCCAAGGCATTCCCTGGGAAAGTCGGTTGAAAGGAATAGAGTGAGAGAGTCGAATCGACGTCTTGTTTCGCCAGAGTGATCGTTCCAGCCGGTGAGCAGTCGGGTTGGCTGACGTTGGTATATGTGGGAGTTATCATGTCCAGTCCATCGTCAACAATCGAGATCTGGTCTGCTGAGACTTTGGCTGCGACTTTGATGGCCTCCCTGATGCCTAACTCAAACTTCTTGAAGGCTTCGCCGTCTTCGAGGCTTTCTGAAGGTTCATCGACGGAAAGAAGTCTCTCCACTGTCTTCGAAGTGGTGCTCGTCCTCCAAGACTCCGCCAGTATATCAGTGATATCCGTATTGGAAGAAATCAGCTGATTTAAATCCAGTAATCCAAACTTAGGTCGTCGATCTTCACCATCGAGTACCGCAGCCAGCCAGTCATCAACGTCGTCGATAGTGTTGACTATCATGCCGAGAAGTAGCTCGAGAGCTCGTACATATCCGGTGCGCAGCCCACGTTTCTTCGCAGGACCGTAGCTACAGCTACGCCCGATGCTCAGGCACGAATTGCACGACGGGCGGATTCCATCGCATCGGTCCTTACGTCTTCGACATTCGTTGCAGGCTCGGGTAACGCGCAATCTGACCTTGCATCGGGCCGTTCTTCCTTCATCGGATCCTTCTGTAGCGTCTGTCTTGGTCTTTTTCGTTCGTCGCGGGGTCGTTGGTGATAGGCCGTCATCGTCCTTGCCCCTAGATCGTCGCTTGGGTGGACAGGAGACCATCTTACCAGCGTACTTGGTGTGATTGGGAACAGTACCGTAGCAACATTGAATTGACTATTCAATGAAGACAGTCATAGGAACCACTCTCAACAATTAAGGTAGAATCCTCGCGGTGTTTCGTAGTATACAAAGTAACAAAAGGCACATGGACAGAATGCGTGTTCATAGCCCCACTAGCTGCATGTACTTACTAAGGAAATGCGTCAAGGGAGGTATGCAATACGGCAATAAGCTGCCGTGCTGTCTTGCAACCAAACTTCCCTAATTGCATGCATAGAACAAAGGCAAAACGACTGACGTTCATCTTATAATCTGCTCATGAGTACGCTCAAAAACCAGCTATGAACTATTCGAGTCTGATTATAGTGTCCTAGGCAGGGAGATACTTGCTCATGTTTGAAGTGTTTTGCACGTTTCTCTCGACCACTGTAGACAATATTCTAACAAACAGCATACGTGAGTGTCCGATCTCAGGCGGCTAAGATCTTTGCCGCCAAGATTGCCCACTTTGGCAACCAAATCAATCTTACTGGTTGCTGCAATTTTCATAATTCTGAGTGGTCGTGGGGTTTGAACCTTATGAGCATAAGGATAGAACTGATCATCTAATTACATACTTCCTCTTGCCAATCCGGGAAGAGCAGTGACATACAGCGCTTCCATATCCCACCGGCCACAATAGAGAGCTGTGAGATTACAGAGGAATCCAGAGTGTGGAATCACGGCGAGCTCAAATTTGTTCCAGCTGTAGCGAAAAATAACGAATGAAAGTATTTGAACCTATTGTAGTCGCGGATCGCAAGTTCCGTCTAATTTCCTTTCTTTTCTACGTTCCAAGAGTCGTTCCTCTACGCAGCTGAATGCGCCCGCTCCCCCTCAGTGGAGTCCTTGATACTGTCCAGATAGGATCGGAAGGACTTATTCATTTCCATCACATCCTTGAAGTGCTCAGCCTCCACAATGATCTCCTGCGTCTGATCGTAGTCCGAGGCTTCTTTAGCCTCATACTCTGCAAGCGCGATAGCTGTCTGAAAAGCGTTGCGAATCTCACGACCGTTCCAATCCGTGTACTCAAGCACATCGGGTGTCTTCAAGAACTTCTTAGCGCCATTGCTAATGCGAATTGCCCCTTTTCGCTCGCGGTTGAGCTTCGCAAGAAGACTATCCCAAATCTTTTCACGTCGCGCACCATCGAGCGGATCGAAACCGATGACAGCGTGGACACGAGACATGAAGGCGTCATCAATATGGCCGACCCTGTTGGTCGTGAGAAACAGAAGACCTCCAAAGTACTCTATCTTTCGTAAGAAGGCTTTTACATGCGACAGTCAGTATGAGTCACGCACACGCATCGCGCCTATGATGTAAACGTACCCGAGACGATTGCGTTGCGTTCAATGTCCTTCTTCTCACGCCGCTCGAGGAAGACGTCACACTCGTCTATGAGAAGGATAGCGCGCCATTTGTCGGCCATCTTGAACCACCTGGTCAGTTCCTCCTCTACAGACGCATCCTGGGTGCGCAAATCCGATATCGTGAGACTGATCAATGGCTGTCTCTTCCGCATAGCAATCGATTCTAATCTTGTCAGAAGTGCAACATAGCCATCTGCAAAGACTCACACATACCAACTGTGTAAGTTTTTCCTACACCAGGGGGCCCTGGGAAAGGGCATTAGCATCTATCTTGAGCTCACACTATGAATAACGACTGTTCTTACCGTGAAGAAGGATGACGACTCCTTCGCCCTTGTTCTTGATGTAGTCTGCTGACCAGGGCTTCGCGGTCAATTGGCGTTCGGCTAGAGCCTTGATAATCTTCAGTTTTTCACCACTAACGATCGCTTCGGGTACTTCCTCCTGTACCAAGTCTTGGATGCTTCCAACATGTGCCGAGACTATTCACTGTTAGTAGATTAGATCTAGACAACTCGGGCGAGGCGGTGTTTGATACCCCAAGTCTTCGCCGGAAGAGTGAAGCCAGGTACGACTGGACAAGTGATAAATTTGTGAGCTGCTGTCACTGGATCTCTCGAATCTTTCGTGGGATCAAGCCATAGGGGCTGCAATACGCCCAAATGACCGTTTGTTGGCCTTGCCTGATCAGGTGCAGGTTCCGGGACCAAATCGAAACTCCAATCATCTTCATCAAAACTTGGGCTTTGATCACCATATGCATTGAGAATGATCTTCCCCTTGTACTGCTTTGGTGTCAGACTTTCGGCCGTTTAGGTATGAAGAGTAATCGCATACCTTGATCCTCTTTTTGCTCATCAACTCGCCATCGTAATGGGCATATTCGTGCCCTCTCCAGAGCATGTCACAGATCTGATCACCACGAGTCTCGAATTCCTTCTTTCGCTCACCCTTAAGATACTCCTCTGGGAAAATGTCCAGCTGTCCCACCTTCTTCTCGCCTTCGAACTTAGGAATGTCGATGGTATTGGTCACAGTGACCAGTGTTCCATAAGACCAATGCATCGCCAGGAACCAGATCTTCACTTTCCATCGTTCGGGAAGATTGTCTTCTGCGTCCGGGGCGCATTTTTTGGCATCTTCGACAATACATCCTAACCACTGGCGATCCCACTTGCAATAACTTTGCGAACCAGGTCGTAGCAAATACCATAAGTCATCCCAAGTTGTTGTGGGCGAGTCTTGTCCCAACCGTCTCTGCATCGGTTCGAGCCGACTTTTGACGATTGGATTCAGATACTCAAGCAACACGCCCAAGTGCTTCATTTTAGTCTGTCGATCATCCGTGACCAATTTTGGTGAATCCTCCTGAGAGGCATAGATCTGGCCCAATTTCTCCCAGTTGTGCAGCAGAACTCCGTAAGGTTCATGGATTGTGATCGTCTCTCCGGTCAGATTTTGCCCCGGATAATAGTCGACGATGTCGCGGATCAGCTCGGATAAGCACGGGGAATGAACGATGATGCGGGAACTTCCGATCCCTCGTATGGCCTTGTCGCTCATTGTTTCTTTCTTAATCATGCCGATTTCGTGATTCCTTTCAATGGATTGCTTTATGTCACTCCTGAGCCCAACGTTCATGTTGGTGACGACCTCAATTACAGGCTTGGCTTTCTCGTCGTGCGGAGGGACCTGGGACGGAAATGGCTCATCCTGGGAGTAGTCAAAGTTCTGACCGTTATGGTTGTAACAGGACGCCGTGTAACGTATTCTTGATGGCTTCCGAGGAGGCTCGGTCTCCTTTATCGTGTCTTGGGGAGAGATGTCATTATTTCCCATCGCCTCAGCCTCTGGTTTATCTGGGTTACCTGACGCTGAGTCGTTCATTGGGAGGTCGTGAGTAGGCATGACTGCGTCTATGTTTGTGACAGTCGCTATTGCCGACATTGTTCCAAGTTCAGGATGCTGTGGGGGATGACGACTTAAGAGGTGCGTCTACCTACTTAGCTGCTATTTTACGTGGAAATAGAGCGCCGAAGCAATAATTATACCCAGACAACGCATCTTATATCCTTATGATCCCCGTGATTTCCGGAACAGCTTTATGTTGTGTCCCTGCGATGTCGCCTGTCTCCATCCCTAATCCATGCCCCGGAAGGGTGGGTTTCGAGACGCCGAGAGCAACCACCTTGCGCTATTACCAGTAGCCCACTAACCCAAAGCGAAAACCATTGTAGACGCAGATGAGATTTCACAAAATGTGGCAGATGATCTCATTGGCTTAGTCCAGGATTTCCACACTGACAGGCTGCGGGGGTAGCTGCAAATATACTCTTTTAGAATTTTGCCAACAACCAAGTGTCAGCCTGCCTCGATGAAGTCGACAATCCCTGTTGCTTATTGGCTTATACCACTCATCGGTTGCCAATATATCGGTATGAGCGGCAAATGTCAAGCAGGCTCGCTACGCTAAGTAGGCTTACTGCAGAGCGAGTATTGGCCCGGTGAGACGAGGATCTCCGTCTCTGCAAATGATAGGCGCCTGACCCTGCCAATTTTTGATGTAGCAGAGGGGTTGTACCCGTTGGATAAGCAGATGACGCCGTCGAGGAGGTCGACGATGGTCTTTTTCTTGCACACCTCACTTGGTACAAATTGGTATTATTAAAACCGGCGTTCGGCTCTGGGGCCTATTAGTCCCTTTGTCTCACCCGCCCTTGACATAGAAACCGTTAGTGCGATACAATGCTGATACTTGTTGATCTTTGCGAACCACGCTCACATTGTACTCTGCGGCATTTCGGGCTACCACACCAGTTTTGGGAACCATCCGCCACAGCATCCTGAGAGCATCTTGTTCGTGGCATTGAACTGAGTGAGGCCTCAGCCTGATCTATTTTTAGCACTCCGATAGCAAACACCAGCAGCAGCTGCCCAGATAGTTTGCTTGCACGAAGTCATGTCTGACCTTTCCTTCTTTTTTGGTAGGTTAAACACGCTCCTTTCCTCTTTATGGCCCTCCAACGTTTCTAGGAATGCCGCATAATCAATGGTTTTGATTCCATCTCGAGCGGAAGTAACTCCCGCTGCCATGATATCTCAGAACGCCAAAGCAGCAGAGCCTGCTTTGCAAATGGTGCGTCGGTACACTGACCAGATGCAGCGAGAGAGCACTTGTGGCAATTTACCGTAAGAACATGTAAACAAAATATTCATCGCCCTCTTTCCTGACATATCATTCTTTGACATTCTAGACAAGCCCTGGCTACAAAAGTAGACTCAGAGAGACGAGATGAAGCCATTGGGAGAACCATTCCTGAGGTTTCGGCCCTAGAGTCGTTGGAAATCTACCAAGGCACGAGCTTAGGGTAAGGTTTGTCGAGAGCTCCATGCTAATTATCACTTTGTTCTAATGATGCTACATGAAGAGAAATCACCTTGCACGAGACCATTCTCTTGACAGGCATATCTCGGGAGCTAGAGACGCAGTGGCCCAAGGTCGTCAAATCGTTACCGAAACATGAGAGGGGTAACATTCCCTCCCAACCGGATATTCGAATGTTCGGTAGACTTTTCAGTCAAGCGCAGGATAAACTCAATGCGAAATCGAGTACAAGGTCTGGCAAGATCAAGTCTTGGTTTGTCGGAGTGGCGGAAACTATCAATAGCCACAAATATTTGCTCAAACTTCTACCTGAAGGAGACAAATACACTTCGGTCTTGGTTGGCTCTTTCACAGTGCTGATCCAGGTATGATTGTCTCTTTCAAGTTTCCATTCACCCGCATCTATTTAGATTGGAGCAATCGAAGATTGCTAATGAACAATAGGTTGCGGTGACGTACAGTGACACTGCAGAAAATGTATCCGAATGCCTAGAGCGCCTTTCAAGCCAAGTGTCGCTTCTCAGAAACGCTCTCGGGGCAAATTCCCGTCGCCAGTATATTAGGTGGCAAGTCAGCAAGTTCTATTGCCACTTGTTCCGATTTCTCGTACTCATTTTGACCGAGTGGCTTTCATCCTCCTCAAAACGCTTCTTTAACAGTTTCGGAGACGGTCTCTTAAGTGCCTGCGATACAGCAGTTAGGAAGATGACGGCGTGCAAAGATGATATCATGCATAGCATTATTCTCATTCAGCAGAGTACAATCGAGGACATGAATGCAAAGCTTGACCGACTCGGAAGTCTTGTTCAGGCCAGTTTGGTTGGCGCTGCTGTCGATCGATCCAGACCATGCGACGCCCCAAGGATTTCTTCACTAACCGAGGTGCCGCCATTCAAGAGTTTACCACAAAGTCACGATACTGACGCAAAATGTGGAAAAAAAGAAGATACCGTGCCTGAAAGTTCTGACCAGCGATGCCATTCTAGTGATGGCAAGGGAAAAGTTGTTGAGCCGGAGGTCCTTGAAGATGAACTCAGCGACGAGAACGATCTATGGACATTGGAAACAATGCAGGAGCTCCTAGAGCACTTGGAGACATTCCATCAGGTTGCCCAAATTGCATCTTTGACGTCCCCGCTGAAGCAAGTGTACGTGAGTGCAGAGATGCGAGCTGAACTCGTGAAGATGGTCTCTTCGAGGCGATCAGCAGCTCTCTGGATTGCAGGCCCGGGTGAGTGATCCCCCTTTCTTACATCCTAGAAAGAGATTATCTGGCTAATTCTCATCAACGTTGAGACGACGACGAATCGCCCTCGCACGCGACTTTGCTAGCAGCTCAAATGGTTCACGATTTCAGTCAGCTGAATATTCCCACCCTCTGTCACTTCATCCATCGACCTAAAAGCGCATCTCTGGACCGCGAGCGAGCGCTCTTAGAGATGGTGTACTCCCTAGTCTACCAGATATCACGGACTCTTCCTGAGCATGCGCATTTCGAGGCAGGTGTTGTCGAAAAGGTCAAATTGCTGCCAGCTGTCCCACAGACTCGTTCCGAAGTGACCCGCAGCTTAGCTCCAGCGGTCAACTTACTCGAGTCCTTGTTGGAGAATCTCCCTCCGCTGTTGTTCTGCGTCGTAGACGGGTTTCAGCTTCTTGTGAGACAGTCGAACTCTCCGGAGATGAAAGCTGCCTCCAAGCAGTTCGTCACTTGTATCTGCGAGGCAGCGACACGCCAGCTCACAGACCAGCCGTCGATTTTCAAATCGCTGTGGACCACGGATGGGCCCTGCAGGGACTTACAGCAAGCTAGAAGGAGCCGAATTTTGGCATATTTGGGATACGAGGATGATGAGGAATTTGAGTCAATGGCTCTTCGCGGTAGAGAAATGTCGCCGCTGACAGAGTAGTAACTTTTCCTTCCAGCCAAATCTAGGTCCAACGGTTGGGAGGTGGTTTGACATATTTATTTGATCGAATTTATCTATGCCTTGGGCTTGATGTTCTTAACGGCATGATCAATCGCGTACCCATATCCATGAATTCCCAACCCCATAATAACCGCCACCGCCTTGTCACTCAAGTAGCTGTGATGTCTGAAGCTCTCTCTCGCATGTGTATTGCTAATGTGCAGCTCGATGAAGGGGATATCAACACCCAGCAGCGCGTCGCGGATGGCGACGCTCGTGTGTGTGTAGGCGGCCGGGTTGATGATGATGACGTCGACGTTGCCCCGCGCCGCGTGTATGCGCTCGACGATGGCGCCTTCGGTGTTGGATTGGAAGGATTGCAGGTCTGCGCCGAGGGACTTTGCGTGTTCTTTTGACTGTGTCTCGAGCTGGGAGAGTGTGGTTGAGCCGTAAATGTGCGGCTCGCGTGTGCCAAGGAGGTTCAGGTTGGGGCCGTTGATGAGGAGGATTGACTTTGCCATTGTGATTGCTGTTCTGGACACTTTGTGGTGTTTTTAAAGGTTTGTTCGCCTGGATTGTAGGACAGGTGTAATAAGCTTCCTAGGATGAGCGCGTAGGCCAATTGATGATGTGTAGGAGTGTTCTCAAGCTTGCAAATGCAGATACAGTAGATGCAGGATCCAAAGATTTCAAGTAGTAATTACCTTGCAAATAAAAACTGGTTAAACACTTTCCCCAGGTTCCCCTCAAGTCGTCTCCGCGTGGACCGAGTCAAGCCCAAATCGCTCCGTGAATCGGTGCGGGGAAACAAGATGCGGGACCCCCGTGCCCCCGCGATCCCAACGCGGCAAAGTTTTCATCCGTTCGGCCTCTCACCAATGCACCGAGATGGAAGAGCCGGATAATGTGCCGAATAGCGAAGTGCTCACTAATACGATGGCCTCGCCATTAGCTTAGTCACTAACATGATGTCTTTTCCGGCATATGAGGTCTGCATCGCGGTAGATGGTCATGATTAAGCCCAGAATTTACAAGAAAGCCTCAGTAATAGTTCGACACATTGCGTGGTGATACGAACATGCCTGATTTACACAGTCTTCCTGCAGGGTCCCGTCCCGTCAATGCCATCCGCAACAACGGTCCAGATCACTTGGTCCTGGAAAGATTGAAGTTAAGAGAATTGGCAGAAGGATGGCCGTCCTATAGGTAAGAAATCGTGGTCAGAAGGCAACGTCTTTGCAGGCTGTAATTGACCAGCATTGATCTTCAGAGACGCCTGCGAATGGGAAAACTTCGAGTCCATCTTCCACCCAGGAGCCTACGTCTACACTACCTGGTCAGGCCGCGTTCCCTTCACAGACTTCATCGCAGCTTCTAAGGCGGGGATGGATAAGGGCGCCTTCATCATGCATCGCTGCCACGGCTGCAGCACAGATATCAACGCCGAGGGCACCAGAGCTGTGACCAAGCTCAAGGCGACAATTACACAGCGCTTCGATATTGACGGCGTCGAATTTGATGTGGAAGCCGACTGCCGCTTCTGCTTCTACTTCGAGAAAGTGGGAGACCGTTGGGGCGCGCGTCTGGTGCGGCATTGTTGTTGTTGTTGTTGTTGTTGTATTTAACGCCGTGGCGGCCGGGCTAGAGCCCTTACCGCAGACCTCCCGAAGGGTATATGGCGTGGAGGGCCGTGAGCCAAGGCTACCTACTCTACAGTACGTCGTCTCTTTACATCGTCCTCCAAATCATGCCTTGTGGCCACTACGCGTTCTGTCTGTCCCCGGTTCCCGCTGGTGCCCCAGTTTCATTCTTTCCCAAATCGTCCCTTGGAATCGGGAGGTTCTTTGTAGTCCGCACTCACATCTACCTAGGTGTGGATGCTGCTACCGCAGACAGATCTTCTGGAAGAAGTCCGTCACGCGGAGAAAGGCCTCGAAGCCTCGTGGGTCGGTGATTAATCTCTTGAAGTAGGCCTCGAGAGATCCCATAGGACCTATGGGCTCGGGCATACTGCGAGAGTGGAGGGTCGGCCACCGTTGCCTCCTCGCCAGCGTTAGTCGACAGTAGACCAGGTGGTCCACGTCTTTCGCCTCTCCACAAGAGCACATCATTAGAGCGTCGTCGTGGTTGAAACGTCGGTGATATTGCTCGAAGTCCCCGTGACCCGATCGTGCCGCCAGCAGGTGATGTAACGTAGCCCGCGGCAAGGCCAGTTCAGGAGGGCTGGACAGAGCTGCCTC